AGGAGCTGGAAGTGGGAATAAGAGTAGAGCACCAATGACACATAAAAGGAAGGGGAAGAAACATGAACCAACAAAAATTGGTGATTATTTTGCACCAAGGACCACTCCGGGTTCTCAACCAACTATCAAAAGTGCTCTCCAAACTAAAGAAGCCATACATAGAACACATATGATTGTTGGCAAATTCTTTTATGATACTTGTATTCCAATCAATGCTGTGAACTCCATTTATTTTCAGCCCATGTTTGATGCCGCAATTGCCATTGGTCCAGGATATAAGGTCCCTACTTACCATCAACTTCGAGTTCCTTTATTGAGAGACTCAAAAAAAGAGCTTCAATTGTATATTGACACTTTGAAGAGTTCATGGGCTACGTGTGGATGTACTATTATGGGTGATGGTTGGACTGATGGTAGACAAAGAAATCTAATAAATTTTCTTGTGTATAGCCCTATGGGTATTGCTTTTGTGAAATCAATTGATGCCTCTGATGCTGTCAAAGATGCTACTATTCTTTCTAAATTGTTTCTAGAGGTTATTGAGTGGGTGGGAGTGTCGAATGTTGTTCATATGGTGACAGATAATGGAGCAAATTATAAAGCTGCTGGAGGACTTGTAAATGCAACTTACAAATCTATAAATTGGTCTCCATGTGCAGCTCATTGCTTGAACTTAATCTTAAGTGAAATTTCCAAGATGAATCATGTGCATGAGCTTGCTATTAAGGCATCAACGGTGACAAGGTACATATATAACCGTTCATGGTTGTTAGCTCGGTTGAGAAAGAAGAATAATTGGACTGAAATTTTGCTTCCAAGAGCAACGCGCTTTGCCACTACTTTCCTTGCATTGCATAGTATTCATGAGCATATGCATGATTTGCAAGCTTTGGTGACAAGTAAGGAGTTTACAAGTTCAAGGTTTGCCAAAGAGAAGAAAGGAAAGGATGCCATTGATATCATTTTAGATAAACTATTTTGGAAGGATTGCTTCATCACTGTTAAGATTGTTGAGCCACTTATGCGTCTTTTGCGTATTGTTGATGGAGATGAGAAACCGTCCATGGGATATGTTTATGAAGGCATGTATAGGGCAATCAAAGGTACTAAAGATATTTTCAAGAGAAATAAGAGGTTGTATAGGCCTTACACAACAATCATTAAAACTCGTTGGGATAATCAATTGCGGAAGAATATACATGCGGCAGCTTATTGGTTGAACCCAGCTTTTCAATATGATCAAGCTTCATTTTGTAAAAAGCCAGAGGTTATGAATAGTGTACTTGATGTGATTGAAACTAAAGCCACATCAAGTAAAACGAAACTCATGAATGAACTTAGATTGTTTCGAGATCGACAAGATAGTTTTGGAAGAGAGCTTGCCATTACTACATCTAAGAAAACACAACCTGGTAATCACTCTCTTTTTTTTTAATAGTAATTATCATTATTATTTGATTTTGTTTGGAATATTTTATCATTATAATTATCATTATAATATTTTTCTTTCTTTCTTGATAATAAGATGAATGGTGGAAGATGTTTGGACATAGTGCTCCAAATTTGCAAAAGTTGGCCATTCGAATTCTTAGTCAAACTAGCAGCTCTTCTGGGTGTGAAAGGAATTGGAGTGTCTTTGAACGCATACATACAAAGAAGAGGAATAGACTAGAACATCATAGGCTTAATGATCTTGTGTATGTTCATTACAACTTGCGATTGAAGAATAGGTAAATTAATCTTTCTCATATAGTAACTAATTGATTCTTTATTTTATTCATTTATTTAGTCTTACAATTGAATCAATATAGGAGGTATTACAAAACAAGGAATTATGATCCCATTGACATTGAAAGCATTGACAAAACCGAGTTTTGGATTATTGAAGAAGAAAGACTAGAACAAGAGGAGCTTCCATTGATTGATTATGATGAGCTCGAAAAAATGCTTTATGAAGAAGATGAGCCTCCATGATATAAGAAGCAATGTCATGGTCTACGAGATGGTTAGAAAATAATGTTTCATCATTATGCAACACATTTTTTTTTTATCTATCATTAATGATTTTATTTTAACTATTGTAGATGATGTTGAGGATGATATGGAGGCAGAACTTCTTGGAGATGATATCGACTTGGGATCTTTTGGTGACATGAACATTGATAATAGATCAAACAATCCGAGCTCTAGTGCAAATGCGAACGAAAATGATGATGATGATTGGCTAAATTATCGTCCCTAGGAGATTTCGGCTGTTGTTTGTGATGTTATGTTGTGTTGTGTTGAATTTTTTTCTTTAGACTTAGTTTGTTTATGTCTGGAAATTTTGGACTTTGTTTTGTCTTTTTTGTGACTTATGTTTTATGGATTGCTTTAGTTGGATATTTTCATAATTTTTATTACTATGATTGTTGTTTTTGATGGCTAAATTTTCATCTTTAATTTGTTGTTAGTATGTGAAGTGTTATGGCTTATATTTAGGAATTTTTTTTTTTTTTTTTTGAAGTATAGAAAAATATCACTAAAAATATTTTTGATTTTTAAAAAAAAAAAATCAAAAATTTAATATTTAAATTATTAATTTATATTTTTTTAAAAAAATATTTATGATGTAATTATGACGTCACGGTTCGATCCGGTTCAACCCACCAATTGAACCGGTGACCCGTCCACCCGATCATTTTTCCAGTTCGTTCACCGGTCCGGTTTTTAAAGCCTTGAAATTATGTTGTGGAACTTGATGACTCGTAGTTGGTTTTTGTTGAAAATTGTAGTTGCTCAATTGCCCTTTCATAATGTGACACTATTAGCATATTAGTCACATTGAATGGATTAATAATGTTAAGATAGATGAGAATGGGGCATAATTTACTTAGTATCTTATTATGGTTGGACTACATTTGGCTATATAACTTGAGGGATGTTAGAATAAATGGTGGTAGTGTGTATACTCGTGGTATGTTGCATGTCAAATAAATGAACTGGTTGTAGTAAAATGATTGATATTTAAAATTGAATTGGACAAACAAGAAAGGATTCTTTTTAAATGTTAAAGAGGAAAAGACAGAGAGGAGGGGCTGAGCAAGAAGTTCGTCGTCGTCGCAGATGAAGTGTGTAAGAGGGGCTAATTTGAGCCCACTAAATTATTTAGGCCCAATAGCCCAAGATTAGTGGGCCCGAATTTATCGCAAGTCCAAGAATCGGTGGGCCCAGATTTATCGCCATCAAACGGATTGAATCGCTCTAAGCCTCGAAAGGGTTCGGATCCACGAACCTAGAGACTTACTAGGGCCCGGACTCGAAAGGGTATTAAGCAAGCCTAGAGATCCGAGGCACTCGGACTCGAAAGGATTCGGATCCACGAATCTAGAGATCCGAAGTACTTGGCTTCGAACGGATTCAGACGCAATCTAGAAGTCGCTCCGTTAATGAGTCCCAGAACACTTGCGGGCTCGGAGCTTTCCGGGATCTACGCACCAGAACCATGGGCGTAATGGAGTTCGAACAAAGGACCCGATCCCGAGGACGGTGAGTGCAGATAAATTCACTCTTCGGTTACACTAGCCTATACCCGGGTCGAGGTGGCACGACCCCGGGGGGTCCATGAGACTCGGCAATATTTTGCGGCAGGACGTCCTCTGGGACTACCCCTGACCCTTTGGATTTATCGAAACGAATAAGTACAAAGTCACCTCCTCGGAGAAGTCACCTCCTCGGAGAAGTCCCCTCCTCGGAGAGGTCACCTCCTCGGAGAAGTCACCTCCTCGGAGAGGTCACCCCCTCGGACAAGGTGGTTAGAGAAAATATCCCCCATGTGCCTTGCTCATGGGCTCCATCCTACATCATGAGGTGCCTATAAATAGCACCCACCCATAGCTTTACAAGGGATGGATTTTGGAGATTTTTAACTCTTGGGAAAGAACTAATTTCCCTTCTCCATTATCAACCTTGAGAGTGAAAGTGGGAGATCAATGGGAGAGCCTTGCCATTATTCTATTCTCTAGCCATTTTGCCTTCTTCTTCACCCAATCTTTTATCTCCATCATCTCCTTTGTTGTTGTGTTCCTAAGTTGAGATTATTGAAGAATCTAAGCCTCTCAATCATATTCTAGAGAATTCGAAGTTGTTCTTCAAGGATCTTCGAAGATTTTCGAATTTTCCAATTCCTTTCTTGAACCCTCTCCTACAAAGTGTCGACGACGCCATCAACGTCGTCGTTTCTGATTCCTTCGATGACGGCGATTGAGTCTCCCACCGGCGGCCGTCTGCTCCGGAGAGAGACGGAGATCGGCGATCGGTTGTGATCTCGCAGTTAATTCATTGAATTCCTTCACTTTACTAGCCGAATGCAGATCTAGGGATCTGAAGAAATCTGAGGAAATTACGGGGACGCTGGGGACGAAGGAGAGGAAGGACGACATGAGGTTGACACAACCGAACCAAAGAACTTAGCGACAAAGACGGTGGCGTTAGCCTGAGCCTGATGCAATGCAATTCTCATTGCAACGATTTTTCTGAGTCAAAATCTCCAGGGTTAAGAATTCTGATCCAAAACTGATTCAATTTTGTTTGTTTGAGTTTTAAACAATCAACAATGGAGGTTTTGGGGGAGTACTCTCTCTCCCTCTCTGTCTCAGTCCCGTTTGCTAAAACGGAGGATTTTTTTTTTTGGTTTTCCCCACTAAAACGACGTCGTTTTGGTAGTGGGACACCACGTTAATCACTTCACCAAATCGGATTTAGGTTCGATCTTGACCGTGACCCGTTTTCGACATCTTAATTTGACGGGTCTACACGGTTTGGGTTGATTTAGTTTTAAGAAAATTTAAAAATTAAATCGATTCAATTTTAATGATTCTATAATTTTGAGAATCAGATCAGATCATTATCTTTGTAAAATCAGATTAGAACCACATTGAAATAACGGTTTGGTTTTCTATTTATAAGAATAAATGGTTAATATTAATAAAATAATTATTCAAACTAATTATATTTAACTAATGATAAAAACTAATAATATTAAGACATTACTCAACATTAAGTATCTATATTATCCTAATATCATTAAAATTACAAAAAAATCAATTAATAAAAATAAAACTTGATATTATATATATCTTTCAAAATTCGATTCGATTCAATTTGAATTGTAATTTTTTCATAAAATCTATTAATCAAACCGTTTTTATGATTCTCATATTTTTTAAATCGAAATTGAACCAATTCTTAATAGAACTGAATCAAATCGTACCATTTGGTCTGATTCGGTCCAGATTACCGATTTAAACGGATTTTTGAACAGCCTTACAGCTTATAACTTAAAAAAATAATTAAATAAAATCACATAATTTTAATTTTTTGAGTCAAAACTAAAAAAATGTCATAACTAAATATAACATGAGACATAACTAAATGACTCATAAGTCATGACTAAAATAATATAATAACTAAATAAAAAAGTTAGTAATAACTAAAGAATAAAATAGTATAATTAGGATATATGGTGTATCTTTTTAAAAATAGTGTATATTAAAATTTACCTTATAAACCTTTGTATTAATAATGATAATGCTGCTAGCCACCGATGGAGCGAGTCAGACTGGTCCATGCTTGTCAAGTCGTTATCTGATTGTTGGGCCCACCGAGAAACCTGCAAAGGAGTTCGACGGGGAACGGGGAGTCCCCCAGCGAACCCTCTAACGAACAAGTTAGAGAAGAGAGAGTAAGTAATGGGAAATGGGGATAGACTGATGTTAGGAAGCTTAACCTTCTTTCTGTCTTAGAAGCCTACTTATATCCTTTATGGAAAATGCATGAGACCCCCAGTGGGGGTACTGGGGGTTGACCCCAGGTACACTCTCTCTCTCTCTCTCTCTCTCTCTCTCTCTCTCCGTGTATATAGTTATGTATGTGTTTTGTTGTTTATCTTTCATAATTCTTAACACAAACTAATTAAATTTGTGAAGAGCTGAATAATTTGAGGAATTGATAAAATTTTCTATTGCTATCACATTTTCTATTCCTCTGACATCTCTCTTCATATCCATCTCTGTTGCTTTTGCTTAGGCAAGTGTTTGGTTCATTGGAATGAATTGATCATTACATCAAAATGTTCATTCCCATATTTGGTTAGACTAAAAAAATAAAAGACAAATGTATTACAAATGAAATCATCTTTTACCATTTTAAGGTAATAGGCAGCCTAAGGAATCACCATTTCATTCCATTTCGTCTCATTTCAATGAACCAAATAGAACATTAGAGTTTTTCTTCGATTTGTTCCTCTCATCGTCAGCAGGGAGGGAAGGACCCAGGAATTTACCTTAGCCTTATATACTAATAAATATTAAAAAGAAAGGATCATGAACATCAATATCTACAAACAACATTGAAACATGTACATAGAAAGCATTTTTTTTTTTCTTAAGTTCCCATTTATTTACAAACTAAAAAAATTGTTGATCGATTTCGTTGTACTTTTGGACAGAAGGGCACAACCAGAAGGAGAACTTCTTCCTCTTTGGTTTGGATTGAACCCATCCCTTTGACCTCTCAAGAAAATTACATTTCATTTTTTATACTTGCAATTTTGTCACAAATAAGAGATTTTGCAATTCTATTTTTTGAGACAATAACAAAATAATATTTTTGTGATAAAGCAATAGACAAGATAAGCATTTAATTTATTTCACAAACTTAGGGGGAGCGAGCCTATATAATTTGGAAATTATTAGCATGTATTAGCATAGCAAATGGGATCTCTCCGCCTGTCATCAGGTATGGTTGGTTCCCAGGGTTCTCGCAGTACATTCTTCACGGATTAGGTTTAAATTTGTCTTTTTTCTCCCCACTTCCTCGGAAGAGTTTGTGCAACTAGGATTTATATTTGTCAGCTATTTACTATGGTTTTGGTTGTGCAACTCGATTCTATTTGAAATATTGAGCCTATTTGGTGTAACTTTTGGTAAGTTGAAAGTTGAAAATTAGAAAA